GCTCTTCATGTCCTGGTTAGTCATGGCTTGCTCCTGTCCGGTTTCTTCTACACGCTTCTAAGTTTCTGCCTCGCTAGGTCGCCCTCTGATGTTTATTTTCCCCACTTGTCTCCGCCTTCTCTGAGATCTCGTAGCATAAGTTGCCCGTTACAAGAACCGAGCTCTACTCAGAGCTCTTCTAGTTCAAAAAAGCTCCAAACCCTTCCTCACTTTCCTTTCCATCCACTGTACAAAAACTACAAAGTGCCTTGTCTTTTGTTGGAGTATATTTGATTAGCTAAAATTGGCTAATTATTGTAAAATATACCTTTGATCCTACTGCAGGTGCATGCAGCTTTGAAGTAATGTTCCTCTAAGTTCCTAGTTTGACCTTCACTGAAATGCTCTAAGCTGTTTTTCTAGGAGAATTACAACTAGAAATAAATAAATCTAAAACATTTGATGTAACAGGAAGGTACTGGTTTTTTGAATGTGCGTGCAATATTTTTCACAATCGAGCAATCAAGAAAAAAAGCAACTCTGGCAAAAGCTGCCCTGGTCCAGTAGTAGAATGAACACAATTAAAAGCGTATTGGTGTAGACTTGTCTTAAGTTCCCATGTATATCTGAAGTCATAGTACTGATAATAAGATTTTTCCCTGTGGTTTGGCTAAGGAGGTGTTTTATGTTCCATATTTCTCTTGTATGTTAAAAGTATTTCTAGCAATTACAAAAATATGTTAATCTTTATAAAAGTACTTCTGCTGTTGGAGCGTTATTCTGGTTTTCATTTAGAAAGAAGACAGATGACACTACATAATAATGAATCAGAAGGACATGTGTAGCAATTGAGATACTTAAGCAATGTTTGCCAAGGATGACCCTTTTAAATTGACACTTTCAATCTTATTCATGAGTTCTGAGAGTTGTCTGGCCTGCAGTTTGTGTAAAGTTGTTTTTGGTGAACTGGCATTCCTCCAGTTATCTGGAATTTTCCTTATTCATCATTCAAAATGAAAAATTGGCATGGCCGATGGAGCTGTAGGTCACTTAGTGCCTGTCCTAAATAAAATTAATGAAGGGATTGTTACGAGTTTCATTTGCTTATCCCTCCATGTCAATACATCTGAGTTGGTTTGTTTGTTTGTTTAAAGATCTCCTCAACCAAGGCTGACTTCATTCCTTGAAGAGATTATTAATGTGGTTGATAAAGGAAGCTACTTAAATGCGATATAGCTGAAGTTACGCAAAGCAGCTGACATGAAATTGTATTAGTCCCTATGATATGTACTTAATTTGGGATGATTCAGTATAAATAAGGTGAAATTTTAAGTCAATTGGAAATTGTTACGTAATATTTCTGCAGAGTTTTCTGGGGGTTTGGGGAAGGAATAACTCCATTACGTTTATTTCATTACGTCCTGTAACTTGTGTTACATCAACTTGTCTTAAAATTTTTGATTAACCTGAAGATTTGCACTGATTAATGATAAGGGTAAGCAGTCATGTAAAGTACCACGTTGCTTATTAAGTTGGTAGCGTGTTTTAAATAGACCAAGTGAAAAGTTGTGTAACTAGTGTCAAACTTACAGGTTTGTTCCATTACAACTAATTTAAGGGACAGAAATACTCTAAAAAGAACATTCTGCTGCTAACATCTGATACTCAGATTATTAAAAGCTGTACTTGCTGCCAAATGCGATATGTATAAAGGCAAAATTTTGTTGGAAAGGCAGTTTAATCAGTTTTACCATAGTATATACTTTATTAGCTGTTTGTTGTTTTTTCTCTTCTGATTCAGGTATATCCGCATTTGTAGAAGTTTGGTCATCTAACAGAACAGAAAATTACTCGAAAACCTTTGAACAGCAACTTCTTGATATGGGAGCAAAAGTAAGGAAACTGTTTTGAAATAAATAGAATAGGAAAGCTCTTAATTACAAACCAGCTTGCTCGTTCTGCTTGTCATGTATATTTCTTCATAGTACGAGTTTTTAAAGTGCAGAAAGAAAGATAATCACAAACCTGAGAATAGACAAACGTGTTGTAAAAATCTTATTAGCGACAGATGGGAAATGCATCGCTGTGTCTGTAAACCTCTTTGTATATTAATATGATAGCATGCATTTGTTGTGCATTTGTTGCCCACATACTGTGGGCAAACCAAATCTAAGTGTTGAAAACCTGTGGTTGAGAAGTTACAACCTTATGTTGTTTTGTTTTCTTTAACTTGTAGGCAGCTGCTCTGTTATTACTACAGTATTTTCTAACGCAAGTACCATGACATTTTATTCTTCCATTCACTCTCCTACAAACATGGTTCAACTCCAGAAAGTGCTAGTAAAAATACATCTAAGAGTCTTTGTATATGTCTTAGTGATTTTTTCCATATCAAGTATAGTTGACTTGTAGGTGCAAAATATGTTTAATTGCCAGCTGCAAATTTCAATCAAAGACCAAAGTCAAACTGGCATCTTCCCTTCTTGCACATTAATTAATGGAGATTTTTAAAGCCCACATCATGCTCTAAATAACACTTGCGTGAACTCCCTGTGCTTTTTAAGTGAGCGTGTGTTGGTGTATTTTACTGTAAGTTAGGAAGTTTTGTTAATCTCCCCGAAGCCTCTCTTTCTGTATGAATTTAGCTGAGATAGTGCGACAGAACAGTAGAATAACTGGGTTTATTATAAAAGCAAATACAACTCTCAATAAATAATTTGAATAAGAAATATTTCTGGTTCTTTTGTGCTGTACTATCAGATCTATGGAATTCTGATGATGTTAGGTTTTTCTTACAGAAAATATGGCAAAGCATAAGGCTTCAAAATTCCTCAAGTTGATCAAAAAGTAGCTGGATATGGTGAAAGGTATAGGCAGATGATACAGATGAACCTATTTAGCAGATCCCTATGACTGAAGAGGGGTGGTCCTGCCCCTTTGCTATTTCAGACACTTCCTTGCCTTTTATTGGGCTGAGCACATGATAGTAAACTGACTTGGCTCACTCTGTCAGGAAAGAAAATTCTAAATTAGTTTTTCATTAGACTGTTGATTCAGACATCTCCAGCTAAGGTCAGGTGAGCAGTAGAGGATGTCCAGGATAAGGGAGGAGACAGGAGAGGTGAGAGGGAGGTGTAGGGTGGTGCTCCTCCATAATTTGGAGGCAAAGCTATATCAAGCATCTGTCTTCTTAGGACATGAGCTGTGAGCTGGGTACTAGCATAAGGAGTAAGCAATTGTATCTGGAGTCATAACTTATTCTGAAAGAGATTCATTGGTCCTGTATACCTAGATACTTAAATATCATGGGTTTTTGTCTTCCGAGAAGCAATAAATCATCTTGCCACCAGAAATTTTTGGAAAAGTTGAATAGTTTTCTTAAAGCCAAATATCGATCCAACATGTTGGGAGCCAAGTATAGTGATGCAACTGAGAGTGCAACAGAAAGCTACACAGCTATTTCCATTTGGCTGTGCTGAGAAGATGCTGCTGTAAAATATGAATTGTACTGATCTCACCATGTCAACAGTTACAACTGATCAAAGTTTTATGTGTAGGATGTTTAGTCTCCGCAAAAGGAAACTTTGGTTGTAAAGAATGGAGTATCTAGAACTAAAAAGGTTATCACTTAGTTGTCAATAGAGGCTGATAACTGAAAATTTAATTAGTTGTACAACACAATGAAAATGTCAGGTATGATATTAACTGTACTGACTTAAGTTTTCTGTATTTCTCACTTTTTAAAGTGTTCCCATATATTTTTTTTTTGTTTGTAGTAGCTTCAGCCTTCCCTCAAAACTAGAAGTGATCTTTATTGATGAGAATTAGTTTAAAGGATGAGGTTAGCTGTACTCTTTATGCCTGTGAGTTCTTTGCTAAATAAAAAACGTAATTCGGCATTTCTTTGGATAGTGGCAACTACTTTCTGTACTGGCTGTTGCATAGGAAATGATGTTGGCCTACATAAGTAAAAATGCTGTAAGATTAGTGATACAGTTAGAGAAAGGAGATGAAAATGGTAACCTATAGAAAAGAAGATTGAAAACAAAAGCCCACTAGCATGCATTGCATTGGCTTGACTAATGAGACTTGAGTTTGGATTGTTTGAGGCTTCTTGCAAAGATGAGAAAGATCAAAAGAGTCCTTGACATAATGTTTAGAATAAGTTTTTACGCTAATGGTTTATACATTAAAAACGGACTATGCTAGCTAGTTTCATTAGCATTTTCTGATTGTCAGACTTAAAGATGAGCTCTCTGTGTAATTCTGCAGGTTTCAAAAACTTTGAACAAGCACGTGACCCATGTAGTCTTCAAAGACGGACGTTTGGCTACGTGGAGAAAAGCACAGAAGATGGGTGTAAAAATAGTTTCTGTACTCTGGGTGGAGAAGTGAGTACTTGTGAATATAATGAATGTGACCCATTCCAGAGATAATGGATTCTAGTATTGTTTTATTTAGAAACTTAAGTACAGTACCTGTTTTTTCATGTACTTGAAATAGTGATAAATCTATGAGTAAATGATAACTTTCCTATGACATTATTTTTATTATTTTATGCAGGTTACTTGCATAAAAAGGTAAAATGTTAACTCTTGAAAAATAAATGTGTTGAAGTAGTCCGTAGTATATTAACCGTTCAGTATTCCACTCCTTTGCTCTCACTCTCAGATGGCATGCATGGGCAGTGAAGACCAGATATTTATGTTGAATAGAATTCTTCCATTTTCGTATGAAAAAGCACATTTCATCAGGGACATTGTACTGTTTCTCTACTTGACTCTTTTAGATAGAATATCTCCTAGCAAGAAAGAAAAAGATCCATACGTAGTCTGGCTTTTAAGACACTTGGCAGGTTCAGAACAGAACTGCTTGAAGATTCTCAACTACCATACAAAAAAAGTTAAATTTAAAAATAAAAAAAAAATTTAAAAAATCAATTTCAGCTGTGTAGCCAGTCCATGAGAATTTACTAGTCCATAGCTGCTTCTCTGAGTTTACAAAGTGGTTGTGAGGCCTAACTTGGATTTCAGATGAAGTGTAAAAACACAGTGTTTAAGAATATGCGTGTGTTGTGCTCAAACACTCCAATAGATAAATTGCTGTGATGATGGCAATTAGAATATAAGTCAAATAAAGAGGCCCTTTCCTATACCAGTTGTAATATGCATGGAGAGATAGAAGTCTGCTAAGTGCAAAAGTAAAAAAGAAAAAAAAGGGGGGAGGGGCAAAACTGAGCTCTGCAGCTACTTAAATGTAGGCCAGTACAACTGCAAAACTTGTGATGCAAGTCCGTTAGCCAAAAAAGAAATTCGTGGAGTTCTGCAGAAGCAGGATTTTTTTTTTCTTTTTTTTTTTTTTTTTTTAAGAATACCAGATATAGAAGTTACAGCCACACAGCCCAGCCAGCTTTAACACCGAGGAGGGAACACCTTAAGTTCCCAAAAATGAGAGTGATGCAAAATTTTATTTATGTCAATATATCTTTCTGTGACCTGGTGCTATCTGAGTGCGCAAGAATGATGGTCATTTCAGTATGAATCTTTGGTTATAAAATTAAATATGCTCTTCAGATGGCTAAGTGTATAAATACAGAATTTTGAAAGCTTAGTCACAGGAACTATAAACTACTTGATGACTCGGATGTGCTGTAGTAAAAAGGATCCTAGAAAAGTCCAGGTGAGTAGTATCTGCAATAGAAGAAGAATGAGAGTGCCTTACAGGGGAGAGTCTAGGTTGTGTCATACAGAAATGCTGACTCTGTAATAGCAGTTCCACCCTAAGAATCTCCTCTTAGGAAGGAACTCTACCTACCTCTGGAAGGTATTGAGTGGGTGAACGCTGTAGAAAGCTCAGACATAGAGACAGCTGGATGTGTGATACTGTAGGGGACAGCATGGAGCTTTGAGATCCAGGTGTAAAAGCCTCAAGAAACTTGCTGGATACCAGCAACAAAGGAAGAGACAGGAGAAAGGATCTGGAAGGAAACTTAGGCTATTTGGTGGGAAAGAGAAGGCTAGCATCTTTCTGGTATTTTTTTTAAGTGTTCCTAGTATCATGCTCTGGACAAGGCAAGGTCTTGCTATATGGCTTAGAAGATGAGGTTTGTTGGAACTGGGGAAACCATCTGAAATAGAGAGATGTATTTGATTGCGGGGGGAGGGGGGGGGGGAGGATACCCAAGCTGTGAATTATGATTGAACTTCTGTGTAATCTTTTTCTTCTGCCTTTTATTTTAAAGTTAATGCCAAAAGGTATACAAGAACATACAACTTTGAATTCTGCCTAGAGTATACATCAATCTTAGGAATATCATATCCTTGAACACAGTATAGGTCAGGAGCTGTAGAAGCTTACATAATAGATAGTAATGAATAGTCTCACTAGTCATAGGGTTATTCAAATGAGGCACAGACAATACAAAATTAAAATGAGTCTGTGCTAGCATACGTGCTAAAATTATTTGTAATAAGATGAGGGAACTGGAGTGCCTGACTTTAAATTATATGCCTAGTATATCAATATCTCAGAAATTTGGTAGACAGAAGACAGTCTTTTGAACCCTGGGACAATGTAAACAGGAAGGACTGAATAGTCTGTGCCTGTAAAATAGTGTTTCTGTATGAATGGAAGCTTAGTTTGAAACTGATAACTGTGTAAGCAAATAATGCAGAGTTCATATGAGTTGAAGTTTTAGCGTTACTAAAAAAAGATGGCTTGATTAACCAGCTGCTTCGTTCAATAGTGAGTGGAACGTTCTCAGAATGGTCAGAAATGCTGTGAAATGTTGTGGTTTAACCCCAGCTGGCAGCTAAGCACCACGCAGCCACTCGCTCGATCCCCCCCCGTGGGATGGGGGGGAGGATTCAAGAAAACTCACTGGGTTGAGATAAAGGCAGTTTAACAGGTAAAGCAAAAGCCATGCACGCAAGCAAAGCAAAACAAGGAATTCATTCACTGCTGCCCATCGGCAGGCAGGTGTTCAGCCATCTCCAGGAAAGCAGGGCCCCATCACACATTATCGGTTACTTGGGAAGACAAACGCCATCACTCTGAACGTCCCCTCCTTCCTTCTTCCCTCAGCTTTATATGCTGAGCATGATGTCATATGATATGGAATATCCCTTTGGTCTGTTGGGGTCAGCTGTCTCAGCCGTGTCGCCTCCCAACTTCTTGTGCACCCCCAGCCCACTCGCTGGTGGGGTGGGGTGAGAAGCAGAAAAGGCCTTTACTCTGTGTAAGCACTGCTCAGCAATAACAAAAACATCCCTGTATTATCAACACTGTTTTCAGCACAAATCCAAAACATAGCCCCATGCTAGCTACTATAAAGAAAATTAACTCTATGCCAGCCAAAACTAGCACAAATGTCATTTCAGGAAATGTAATAGTAAAGGGCAACTTTCTAGACTGGGGATTGGGTGACTCCTGTTGGAGTGCAGTGTGAAGACAAATATTTTAGGTATTGCTTGGTCTGAATTGATTTGTGGATGGTTGTTCAAATTATTTCAAAGCACCTTCTTGTAAGTATGGCCACAGTATAAAATGTGTTCATACCAGAACAGCAAAACCCAAGAAGTTCTGTGACAGTGCTCAACTTCAAAAAGGAGTCTAGTTAAAATGGAAGAAGTTCTGTTAAGAAGCTAAGAGAGTGAAGGGAATAAAATTGCTGGTGTCAAGGAGACTATTTAAAGCGTAAATCCTTTTAAGTGTATCAGAAGGAAGATGGTCATCACGTTTTGTGAGGGGGAAGTTAATATTTTGGGACTTACAGTAAATGTTTTCCTGGCATTACTACCTCAGCAGTAGTCAAAAATCAAATTAAATAGAACATAAAACCTCGTGTAGTGGGATGACAGCGTTTTGTCATGGAATGTTGCGAGAGGATGGCAACGAGCATGACTGAAGTTATGAAATAGTTTTCTCACAAGATGTGATTGAAGAGACAAGAATTCTTCAGCCTGGAAAAGACGTGGGTGTGGAGGGGGAGAGACTCTTGTGAACACAAAGGTTCATATGGAGAGACTGAATAGGGAATGAATATATGTTTTCCTTTCCAGTAGAAGAATTGGAAAGCATCACATGAATCTTGTCTGGAGGCAGATTCAGAGAAAACAGTAAATGATGCTTTTTAGCAAAACATGGTTAGGCTGTACAACTCCTCATTGCAGAATCATAGTCAGCAAAGATTTACATGGGTTTAAAAATGCTGAAGCAATTAAACACTTGGTTTTATCAAAAACCAAATACAGTATTGCATCTAACCATCTCTAAACCAGAAATCTGCGGAACATAGCAAAGTAAACTGGGAGTGTTTGGCTGTGTTTTTCATGTTTTTACATGCTTTTGGGAATCTTGATATTGGAAATAGGATGCTGCAGCATATTGTATTTAATCTGGACACTACTTTTTAATGTTTAAGCTCTGAAAACACCAGACAAGGAAGCAAACCATAAACAATTACTCCAGCATTTCCTGATGCTTCTGCTTTGTGCCAAATACTCTCCCACTTAACAGCTAGTGGACCCCTACGTCCAAACTGTTATGCGTGTACTCTAGTGTTATCTTCCCCCAAGCAGTGCTTGAGCCTCTGAGAGGAACATGCCCTATGATTTGAAAAATACTATAATACTCACTTTTCTCCATAAAAACCAGCACAAATTATTAGAGGACAAGGGTTTGTGCAATATTTAGTGAACATTGCCTTGTTGAACTCTTACTGAATTTCCAGTGCTCTCTCCAATGATCTGCCTAAAACTTGTATTGGAAGTTTCTGCTTTATAGTATGAGCATCTGTTTGAATCTAAACTGAATGCAGTTCTATAATTTAATAGGAAGTAATTTGATTGGGAAGAAGACTTTAAAATAAGATGACAATTGAAATTCCAAAAAAATTCAGAACTCCAGAGTAAATATATTTTTAATTAAAAAAAAAAAAAAGTGTTTTGTTTCCTTTTTTTTGTTTTCTTAGAACGGTAGATATGTCTAACTTTAAAAATAGTGCACAAAATCATGGACTTGCTATAAGATTCATGCAAATAAATTGCAAGTTTGTAATTGTAATGTAAAATGAGTGACAGCTTCGGGATCACTGAAAAAAAACTTTTTAAGTGCTTCTTCAACTCAAATACCTCAATGAGCAACCTAAAAAAAAATCAAAACCCAACAACAAAAAGAACCCTACGTAAGATAGAATTGCTGCAATCTGTGTCCAAATTAAGAACACTTAATATTTCCAAATCAAATCCATAATTGGGAAACTCTGCCTCTGTATTCTTAGTACGGTAACTCACTCATGTCACAAATAAGATAGATAAATCATTTACATTCAGATTTGTCTGCAAAGTAAAAAAATCTTGTAAGATATTTAATGGTCAAATTTTCTTCTGTTTAGCTTCTCTGAATCAATGAAATCTCTGAATTAATGTAAATTTTAATGTAGTCTACATCTGTGCTGATTATTATCCAGAATTTAATAATAGCCACTGAAGTCCAGCATGTTGAGTATCATCTCTATTTGATGCTCCAGAGAACTCTAAACTCAGTTAGTTTGACAAATACATGTAGTGGGTTGGCTCTTCTTTATTCAAAACTGAGTAACTAAGCATTAGATTGTCATTCTACAGATACAAACTTTATAGCAGTTAGATCACTAGGTGTCACTAGAATCACAGTTTTGAATGACTTCTGGTGGAATTCTAGTGTAGTCTATTAAGGTTCCATACAATTTCCGATAATCGGTTTTATTGTTTATTGTTTGAAAATAAAACTGTATTTACCTATTTTGATCAAAAGAACTTTAATTTATGTATTAATAACCAAATTATTGCCACAACGTCATCCGTAGTATTCACAAATACAGTAGATGATGATATATCCCAAGATAACATTAGCCCTATTGTTCTCAAGTCAGTCTTCGAATATGAAAAGACAGGAAAAACTAGGGGTATGGTATTGGATTTTTGGTTTTGTAATTAAAAAAAAAAGTTTGCATAAATATAGATTGCTTTTCAATAAGGGGCTGTTTTTAGCATTGCATATACAAAGAAAAGGCAGAAAACTGAGACTAATGGGTAAGATGTAAAAGCCAGGATCAGATGAAGCCTCCTTCCTCATTTGCCTGAATAGAAAAATTTCCTGCCTGCCCCCCTGCCATGACATTCTGTAGATTGTAGTTGGAAATTTACTGTCATCACAGTGACCAAATTAAGGTTAAGTTCAACTAGCTAGTGAACAATGAAAGCCTACAGACCTCACAAAAGTCAGGGCAAGATTTAAGGTTCATGAGAATCTGGCCAGAAGGACTTAATACAGTGGTTTTTGAATGTGTGGAAAATCTAACGAGTGGGAATCCTTGAGTTTCAGAACAGCAATTTCAAGGGCATCATTAGGACAAAAAAATTGTATCATGTGCTGTATTTGATGTGTAATAGATAGATAGATTTTCTTTTTTTGTTGTTTTTTTAGCATTACAGTAATTATGCTAAAGATACACACTTAGGGAGGGTTGGTGTTTCGTTATTACAGGGCTCAGACAACTCTTTTTGCAATAAAGGTTCTCATTCTTAAAAAAACCCAACAAACAACAACAAAAAAAGGCCACAAAACCAAAAAAAACCCCAAACCTGCTCTAATTTATTATACAGGTGTCGAGAAACTGGAGTACATGTTGACGAATCCTTATTTCCTGCAGTAGACACTAATGAAGGATTACCACCACTGATCAAAAAAGTGAGTATGTGATTTTTTCTTTTTTTTTTTTTAAATAGGCCTAGAGTAGTAAACTTTAAAGTTTGAACTTGACTTCCTGACCTCAGGCATTTGAACTGTTTATTTTCAGAACATTCTGTAAACTCAGCCATCTGAGTAGGTTTTTAAAGGTAGGCTATGGCTGTGATGATGTAACATCTTAGCTGAAGAAAGGACAATAAAAATAGAGTTTTTATATTGGTGAATAAAGAAATGAAGATTTAAATTAAAATGACATAATGATTAACTAATCAAAAAAACATGACTGTAATGTGGCTTATGTTTCACTGAGTTGCGACAAACCCTAAAAAAATCTTTCAAGGTTTAGCTTTGCTACAAGTAAAAACGAAAAGATGGTGACTTAGTCTCCTTTTTACTAAAATCTAAGCTAAAAAAATTTCTTAGGTTCTTTCTTATTTCATATTAAAGTTCACTTTGGAAAACATTAACTTCTACAATTATCTGTGACCTCAAGAAGGTGATAATAAGTAGCATAGAGTTAAACACTGATAATAAATACTGTGATAAAGTGGTAGGCAAATAGGAAGTGTAGTTACTTCTGGCAGTTTTATACTATATAATTAATAGTTTTGTGTGTCTTGTAGCACAAATGTATGCGGCCAAAAGACTTTGTTGAAAAAACTCCAGAAAATGATAGAAAGCTGCAGAGAAGACTGGACCAGATGGCTAAAGAATTAGCTGTACAAAAGATAGCAATTAATGCTGGTAAGAACTACTTTGGACTAAGATTCAAATATCTTAAGTTATTTCTTTAAAGCACTTGAAGGGTTTTGGTTTTTGTTTGTTTTTACTTTTATGCATCTCACCGTGAGAAATACAGTAGACTTAATTTTTGCGGAGTTCTTTGCAAGTTTGTGGTATTAAGGCATCTGTAGTGATGTTAGGTATAAGGAACCTAAGTTTTTCAAGTTTTTTGGAAAAAAAAAAAACTTCACCTGAAGCTGTTATAGCATGTAAATATTAATGTACAAATGCAATTTCTTTGTGTAGAAACTGATGTACCAGTTTTACTATTTGAAGACAATGGTTCGCTTGTATACAGCCCTGTTAATAAGATAAAAGATCAATGCAGTGCAATGGAAAGAAGAATAAAGGAGATGAAGGAAAAAAGAGAAAATCTTTCTCCTACTGGTAAGAAGTTACATTTTACTTATCCACAAACATGGACAAATGGCTACCATCTTTATTGCTGAATTTTTGGCACACTTCTCTTGCTCTGGCCTCCAGAATTTTTTTCGTATCTTACTTGATTACGTCCTTCCTTCTTCCCAGGTTTCGAGTAGGTGTGAGTGCTTCAGCTTTTAGTTTCTTTCTATCAAAAGGCACAAGAAGTCATGGAAGACCATGATTGCAAAAAGGAATTTCTTAATCACTAGACTGCTCAAGAGGACTAATGTTTAAGCTAGACTTTCTAAACTTGTAGATTGATATTATCACAACTTGGTTAAACTTTACAGCGAGACTCTAAATCTTACTTCCTCTTGAATTTTAATGTGAATGCTGTACTTGACAAAGATTGTAATTTGCTACTCCCAGGCCAACAGTTTAAAAAGGAGTCCAAAATCTGTCCAGGTACTGAAGAGCAGGATTTAAAAAAATAAAGTAATTTGAATGACCTAATTGAATAAATCTAATTGACTTCAAAATGCAGATCCTGATGAATTAAGTCTAGGTTGCAGTTTCCAAATAATTTTTTAGTGTTCACATTACCTTACTATGAAAGTATTGAGGTCTAAGTCATTAGGTTTTGTCAGTTATTATAAAAACTGTTGAAATGTGGAACATCTTTTGGGGGGGGGGAGGAAATCAGTAGTATTTGAAGTTTTAATAAGTATATGTCAACTAGACTGTCAGTTTATCATTTCATAAATAATTGTGGGAGGAAAGTAAAGAACCAGTGATACATGAATGAAAAATTAAATTTTATTTATTTTAGCATGGCTTGTGTTTGTTTTCTATTTGAGTTTTACGGTAATACCTTCAAATGTTTTGAAAAGCATTTCTGCTATATCAAGGCTTTGCTGCTAATTGCAGAATTTGACAGATTCTTCAGTAAAATGCCTCAACTGGCTTAGAAATATCTATAATATTTTCTAAATGGTTTGCCATCATTCTTTAGTTTCAGAAAAATGTGGTGCTGAGTTATCTAGAAAAAATTTGCTTAAAATTGTAGAATATCTAATAGCTTTTTTGTTAATATGTAAATTTGAGATACTGTTGAGCAGTCTATAATTATTTATATGGTTATAGTTAGTTGACAAAGCAATGGCTTGTCTCTTGTGATTGAGCTGTTTTGAAATAAGAATAGATGGTGTGGAAATCTGTATGCTTGCAAATACAGCTAACTAGTTATTATTTACAAATTTCTAGCGTCGCAAATGTCTCAAATACCTCCAAGTAGTTCACTAGGAGACTGCCCGCTGTCTACTTGTGTCTTAACTAATTCAGAAGACTCATTGTTACCAGGTAAATAACACAACTTCATATATTACAGAAATTAAAAATAATACATAGCCTGTATATCTTATTTTGGAAAGTACAGTATGCTGAAATGGGAACTGTATATATTTGCTCTATTATTTATATTTAAAGCTGAAGTTATTTTAGTTTTTCTTAACTGGCAAAGTATGTAGAAGTAAGAATTCAAGGAAAATGGAGTGTGAGGAATCACATTGGGTAAATGCTGTGCCTTACTGCTGTGTTGCTTGCCTCACTTCCTACTCTTTCCTCACATCATTCCCCATTAATGGCTTCTTGTCCTGGCATGGTGTCAGTCTTCTCTGCTCTTACAGTGATCTTGTATAGAATACAGAGTGCGCACTAAACAGCGTGATGAGGGGAGCAAAAAAGAGAACTGAATGAGAGAGAGACCTCAGAGAACTGAAATATCTTCCAAATTTTCAGTCAAAAAACTTGAATTTAAAAGGAAACCTCATGTGTTTTCCAGCTTAAGTATTTAGGGATCGAAGAAATAACAAGAATAAAGCTTTTAAAATGTTTTATGGTTGCAGATGAATTCAAGTCATTTGTTATTAAGGTTCTTATTCTCACAAAGTTAGGTGTTTGTTCCTGTGTTTTGGCATAGTAGCAGGATGTAAGGGAGAAGATTATTGTGAAGGCTGTTGAGCTATGTCAGTGGGCATCTTAACAGCATTAATCATGTACGCAATGGGTATGTACTTCAGACCTCGTGTCTTCTGTCAGTCACATGAGCAGAAAGCTAAAGTCACATGCTGGTTTGATCTCAGTAGAAAAGTAAGAAGACGACAGTCTTTAGAATTCATAGTGAGGACCACTTGAGTGGTCTGCCTACTCTCTGTTCTACCCCAACAGTAAGCTATACCTCATGCTGTTTTCAAGTGTTGTATTTTGTTGACATCATACAGGAATTCTGTCATGCTGGCTTACATGAGAACAGGGGCGGCATCTGAGACATGTCTCATGCAATGTTAGGGAGAAGTAATAGCTTAATACTGGAAGTAGCATAGTTGTGCCAACAAACTATTTTGGTAAATTAGTTGTGTGCTGATGAGGTTGAACATCGTGATTTGAGAGCTTTACCTTGAGTATTTCCCTTCAACATTACAACTGCACAATGCAATTTTACATTAAGAATAGACCTCCACAACTCGTGACAATACTCAGTGTAGCTTCCATCTCTGATGCTCTGTGACGGTGACCCTTTCGTTTGTGCTTGTGAGATACATGAGTATGTTGGTTAATGGTTTAAAAAGGTCAAGAATCCAGTTTAATTTGAGGATTGAAGTTAAGAGTTTTTCAATTGTCAATATGAGAGTCTGATCATGTCATGTGAAACTTCTCTTTTCATCTCCATATATTTCATTTTTCTGAATTTAGCTAGCTACACCATATATTTAAAAATATTACTTACATTTAGTAAGCAAAGAAGACTTCCCCTAAAACCTACAGGAGCATTTCCAGAAGGAGTATTGCTGAAACTTGTACTCAACATGTATTTAAACAAAAGCAAGTATTGGAATAATCAGATTGTAGAACAACTGGATTTTAAAAAATGTATTCTGAATAATCAAAGATACTAGCCTGTTTCAGAGGAATTTATTGTGAAGAATTATGAATAGATTCTGCATATCACCTCCCCCAAAATCATTTCGTAAGAATAGCTACAAGAAATGATATATTTTTTCCACATTCTAATTATTTTTAATACATTGTGCTGATGTATGTTGTATGATACTGTGATGTTGTATTTAATTTCATCTTAACTGCAAAAACTACAAGGTGGTGGTAATGCTGTGGTAGTAAAAGTTATTATTGAGTTTCCAGTATTACTATAGCTAGCTTTATCACTGTAAAAATCATGCTGTTTTTCTCGACAAATGCAAGAGTGAAAGGGAGTTCCTCGGCTGCTTTGTTTCAAGAAAGCAAAACAGGACTTACGGATACTTACTACCACGTGAGAAGATATGATAGCTAAAGCTATTGTAGCTTCTTGTCAACATAGAATGTGCTTTGTTTCTAATCTATTTTCTGTTTAGTTTTTGATGACTTGCCATATAATATCCAGGGAAGTGACTAAATCCTTGTTTTCTTCTTTCAGTAATTTCATATGTATTTTACTAAGAAATGTGGTACTCTTTCTGTTTTGTTAAATACACTTCTATTGCCACTTTTCATATTTTGCAGGAGAACAAATGGAAGACTGCTTGAACTCAAGTTATGATTATCTTTGGGGAACTGATAAATTAAAGAGACAGACAACAGAGGTAGTAAAACACGCCTGTGATACTTGGACTGATATTCATGTATCCATGAGTGCATCTGTGAATTGTCCCTCACATAGCTATGAGCAGAAGAGCTTAACACCAAAACAAGATAGCAGAAGAAGCTTAAGAAAGGAACAGATTTTGCAGCACACTTTGGATGATAAATTGTCTTTAGAAAAGAAAGATCTAAAAAAGTTTCCAAAGAAATATCAGAAGGATGAAAATATCATGACTGCTTCAGTTGCAAACGAAAGTTCTCTTTTCCCCATCAAGGGCTTGGGTCATATTACTCCTTGCAAAAAAATTGTCAAGTTAAATGCTGTTCCTGCTTTGATTGGCAGTCTCTCTAATTCGTCTATGAACAGTGAAGACTTAAATACATGTTCATTGGATAGAAGCTTCCCTGTTGACAGAAATGATTGTATTCTTGAAGACAAGAAGAGGAAGAAACTACAAACACTATCTAGTTTGAAACTGGCTACCTCAGAACTGGGTGCATCAGGGTCTAAAGAGTTCTTGGAAGCAGTTACGACATATAGCAAGTCTTTTTGCGCTGAAGAGGCTTCTTATGAAGACTTCTTTTCATCATGTAATTTGAATGAAAATGAAGTACAGGTACGAGTACCAAAGGAATCACAGAATCCTCCTGAAGTTTGTTGCAAAGACTCTATTACAAGCATGGACTCACTTGATAGGAGTTTCTGTAAGCCACATACTACTTCCAAGAAAAGTAGGAAAAAGTCTATTCCAGCAAATGATGTTTCAGTAAAGAAAAAATTCAAACCAGCTGAACATCCTGGAAGTGTGCCATTAAATTATATGTCAGATGGTGAAAAAGCTGACACTGCGGAAGCTATAGATTCTGATTATGTGAATAGGCTGCCTCAGCATGCTTATGAAAAATTCTACAGAACCAATGTGAATTACTGTACTCGCACTACTGGTAAGTCGCTACATAGAGCTGGAAAATGAAAAGATATCATACTGCATTAGATGTACTCATGCAACTAAATTGCAGAATGAACTGCCATTCCCAAGGGAAAAACATTTCAGAATTACACCAAAAGAAGAAAATGCTGCAGTACTGACTTTATTTTTGAGTAAAATAATGGAGTTCATAGGATCCAAAAGAACACCCTTTTTTTTCCCCATACATTACAAACACAATGAAGTCACCATGAGATAAGGAAACTGTGCTCACAAAATGCAACGAAAGTATGTGAGCCTTCTTTTCCCCTAATGCTTGATATTCTGTAAACTTTCTGCTGCTATTCAAAATCTGTTTAAGAAACCAAGATCTTTCTGTTTTAAATGTTATGGTGCTCTTGTAAATTGTTTATAAGTAACTTCTCATCATAGGGTCCCTTGTTCAAATTATTTTTATTTCACAAGTTAAAGTTGCTACTTTAGATTAATTGCAGTTAAGGGCATAACATCTCTAGTGAAAAAAAAAAATTGAGTTAGCAATTTCTAACTTGTGCTATGGTGAAGATTGAATAAGACATTTGAGGGGATGTGCAAGAGTTGCAATGTAAGCATCTTTTTCAACCACGGCTTCTTTATATGGAACTGATCTTAGTTTTTAATAGTAATTTTAAGAGTATTTTTTATATTTGAGTGTTTTCAAGTTGGTTTGGCCTAAGTTACTTCAATGTAAATGTATACTAGAATATTGAATCTCAAGAACTTCCCTGAAAAATGCTTAACTTGCATTGGGGTAATCGCTTTCAGATTTTGATATTTTGAGCTCTGTTTGTCAAGCTTTATATAGGGTTAAATATTTGTAATTATAATTGTATATTTTAGTCATTTGTTTTCCCTAGAAAATTCTGCAGCAGTGCACCAATGAATTATAGAAAATCAATTATTAACTTAAAAGGCTCAACAAACTTGGATTCAGACTTATGAAATCATCTAGTGGAACTATGGAATGGTGACTGTGCTTATATCTGTGGGTAATAAGTTGCTGAACTGTAAGCTGCTATTTTGGGTTCACTACATCTGTATTTTAATACCTGGAGTGCATCATTATAACACAGTTAAAAAAAAAAGTTAATGCAGGTGTATGTTATACAAGTATAAATGTACACCCATAAATATATGACTCCACTGTATGTGTTTTTTGCCATGTGGTAGTGTACTAGAAGATGATCCTTAAGTTATGTATTTCTTAATGTCAAAGAACAGTCTATTTTTCATTAAACAATCATGAAAACAAATGGGGAAGGAGAAAATGTTTACTACTTTTAAACTTAGGTATGCCATTTAATTTTAGAGGTAATTCTAACTTTTAAATTCTAGCGATTAAATTATCATCAATGTTTTAGCATGTTATGCTTTTATTTTCTGGCTGGATAACTTGTTTAACATAACAGACTTTGGAGGAGAGGAAAAAGGAACAGTATTCAGCAGACAGAAGTTATCAGATGTTTATACTTTTTATCCTTTTTGTTAGGAACTTCTGTAAGTCTCAATTTGTGTTTCTAGTGATTTCAATAATATTTGTGATTTATCAGTGATGGCCATTTTCCCAAATATAATGTATTCAGCTTCATACCTCTCTTGTGTAGTCAAGTAGAACCTCAAGTTTGACAGCTCAAAGGAGCTCACTTAAAAATGGAAGGAATCAATAATGAAAGATTAGTTGTATTTTCCCTAATGCAAGTTCTGTGGAAGAAGATTAAAATCTTGTTTTAAACTTACTACTGTGACACTGTATGATGGAATAATTGATTTTTATTAAATATAGGTTTACTATTTCCTTTTTTTTCGCTTGAATGTAAGTTATTTCTTGTCCCTGTTAATTGGTAAAGAAATAGTAAATTGCTTTGTTTTTCTGTGTGTTGTATGTGATTTGAAAACTGGTAAATACAGTATGTTATTTTTAAAAGCTAGAGAATTCTTTTCACTCATATATATACAGTTAGGAGTAATCAAATATCTATATAAAATTTAACTATATCTGTATATATTTTAAATATCAAACATTTTTCTTGCCCATTTTTCCATGTGTTTTTATGTCAGTGGCACTCTTACCCAGTGTCTTTAATGACAAGAAGTAGGATTTTATAAGCTCACTTTCCACAGACTACTTGGAACATTTGGTTTTAATGTAGAAGTGTAATATGCAGGCTAATCTGAAACTAACTTTTCAAGTCGTAATGCTTATGTTGTAGCAAACTTCAGGTTCCTTTGTAGGGTACACTCAAGGCTGTCCAGTTGTTCTGCTGAACACCACAGGCATAAACATGGCTATTTATTTTCATCTTACTCCAAGTCATAAATCAAGTAGAGAACTGTCACAGATACAAGAGTTGAAATTAATCAGGCATTATAAGAATATTAAAAGATGCTTTCCTATTCAGATTCACTTCTTCATTCTCAGCTTTGTTTCTGGAAATGAAATAAATTTTCTATCCTTCTGATTAAACCAGCCATACCTGATAAATTTCAGTGCTCTGTAATCAGTAAGTGCTGTGTAACTAGGTTTTGTGTGTCAGTGCCTAAATTTTTAGCAGTTACAAAGTGAGGAAAATGGTGGCTTTTCTCTGTCATGAATATAAGTTTATGGAAATGCAATAATACTATCTTTTGTGAAAGTTAATGACCTATGTTACTAGGAGAGTTTAAGAATTTCTTTGTCATTCATGTTGTAAATTGCTTTACTTTGAAATCCCGTCCATCTGCTTATAACTTTTTTAGTAGGGCTAATGGTAGGGTAAGTTGGCACTTGAACCACATGGTTTAGAATGCCAATACTTGCTCAAATTTGATTAATTCCTATGGCTTTTCATCTGAAAGCTACAATGATACAACAATAGATATTAGGCAAGGAATGCAGGAGTACACTCTTTTAAGCGTTTATCATCCTAAAATCATTTAGAAACTTGAACTGGGATTTAGTATTATTTCCAGTCTTAAAAATAAACTTAAGGCTTAGCTGAGTGAATTTTAGATGTTTATGGTGAATGTGGGAAGCAAATATTATCATAGTTGGCTGAAAGACATAAACTAAGACCCATTATAGTGTAATTAAGGTAGTTCAACATTAAGATGGGGAATCTGGAATATCATTCTGTTATTTGGTGCAAAAATGATGCAGTTTAATTTAGATGAATGAGTTTTACCTGAGGTTCTAGGTGCTAGGTGCTTAATGCTGCTAAAGTACTGTTTATGTCTTTAAAAACACACATGTGAAAACTTCCTTAGATTTGATGTGCTTCTTTTTTTTCTTCAGTTTTGGAAGAAGACAGGCTTACTAAAAATATTGTATGATGTCCTCTCTTGAGATTTTATTATGTCCTTTTAAAAAACAAATAAGGGATGAAGAAGAAAACTATTTCTTGCTTGATTCCTTGTTTTGTTTATCTTCACAAAAAGTTTAATTGTAACTAATTACTAAAACAAAAAGGACAAATATTTCTGAATAGAGGAACAGGTTGAGGATTATTTTGATGTAGTCAAATTTACAAAGCCTGATGACACTTGTCCTAGAACACATAACAAACTAGATAAAATTGTTTTAAACCATTAATAGGTTCTCTTTGAGAATGTGGTGGGCACATAAGCTTTCAGAAGACTTGAAGAAATTGTGTTCTGAATAGCAAAAACTTGGTATTTGCCCATGCTGGAATAATAACTACAATAATAACAACAACACAAGTTATTAAATATTCTGTGCATATGTGCATGAAGGATTACTAATGATGACAAATTCAGACTTACTTTCCTCATAGTTGGGGTGAAAAACTCTGTGGATAAGTACAAAATAGTAGATATGATATAGCTTCATTTCAGTGATGCTTCATTATGATATTCTTAAAGTAGAACACTATACTATAGGTAAAATTTTTATTAGTTAGACATGATTGATTTGATTGAACAAAAACTAGCTCATTGTGCCTAATTACTTTGCTTTTTAACTGGAAGGAAATATCAAATGGAATTTTGAAGATAATATTCTGATTCAAAACTTCTCACTGGTGATAAATGATCATGTAGAAGCTTAAATTGCAAATTAAAGTCACCCTAATTTGTTATAATACTTCGGAAGGCTATCAGAGTTGTTGATTTTGATAGCAGTCATTGAGCAATGTTTTAGAAGAGAATTCAGGGGATCTAGTGGACCACAGTGGCATGAGTTAGCTGTGTATTTGAACTAAATTTAGGGATAACTAACAGTGGATGGAACTGCTTCCAAAAGTTCTGTTGACCTTATCTGAAATACCCTAGGAAAAGCTACTGAAGATGAAAACTCCTTACTTGTGACTGAGCAACTGCTTGAAAAAGAAGCAGTCAGGGAAAAACAGACAATAGACAGTGAAGCTTGAGACCTACAGGATGGAAAGGCTGGAAAGTGCTTGAGAAGTCCTGATGGTCAGGAGAGAAGAAGTAGGAACTGAATTGCAAAGAATAGTCCTTATTTGTGTAATGCATAAGATCCCCAAGCTGATAATCAGAGGAGGTGATGGACCTCGTCCCCTGTTCCTGCTTTCCTGTAAATATGAAGAACCAATGAGAGTGAACCATAACTGGTTGTCCAAGCATAATAGGTCTTGAGACTTTAATCCCAAGTGGGACAAGAGCTGCGGAGCTTGAGCATTCAGATGAAGAGAGGCAAAAGGAGTATTACACCACTTCTTGCTGCCCTCCCCAATCCAACCCTCCAAAAAAACCCAACATGGTGGATCGTCCTTTTAGGTTACTGAAATAACATACTGGAAATTAAGAGACATACCTTGCTTTACCCCCATCTGCTTGGGGTAAAGCAATAGAGTAGATGATCTCCTGACATCCCTTGCAGTCCTGTGGTTGGTGGGGGTTTTTTTAAGTTTCAAAATATCTGTTTTCTATGTAAAAGGAGTTAAATTTAAATTTCTTACCTTTTTTTATTGTGTGGCAAGATCTTTTCTTCTCTTCTACTTGCCACAAGTCTTGCTCAGTGAATGAAGATGATGGCAATACTAAATAAAATTAACATTGTTAAGTAATTAGTTCCCCCTTTGTTAAATGACACTTTATATTTAAATATTGAGTTTAAATTAGTGATTGTACCTGAAAGCCAGGTTTACTTGTATCACACAAAACCACATAAAACTTGCAACTTTAGTGTGAAGAAGTGATACAAGAAGATTATATTTTTAAAATAAGTAATCAGTGATGGAAAATGTTTGTCATCATTTTTTGTGTTGTAATTTGTTGTTATTGTTCTGTCACCTCAGGGATTAAGAGTTTATGTAGCTGACAGAGGAAAAACAAATGATTCTTAGTCATATATGCAGTCAGAATAGTAAATATGGATAGTACCCTTCAGTATTTTCCAAAAGTAATCAGAAGCAGCTTATTTGGGAGGAGCTGAATTTAGGCCACTTTAATCACTGATTATTAAACTTTCTTTAACTGGTCTCGTGCGTTTCTTTGAAATTAAAAATTAACGAATGTCCTAAAGTAGACTCCATTGAATTAAATTTGAGAAAAACAATCTACTTAAATCTTCAGTAATTAATACTTCATTGATCAAAAGATAGATCAAAGTTTTTCATCTTATGCAAGCAAGCTAATTTCACAAATGATTCAAAAGTTTATTATTTAGTGCTTATAAAAGTCATCCTGACAGTGTTGAAGAATTAAATATATGTTAATTCACAAAATATGTAATGAAAAATAGTGCTTTTTGGTAGCCACATTAGAGTACATTCTTATGGATGGTGCCTTTTTATAAATAATAGGACTGATAAGCCTGTATGCACACACAATCCTTGCCTGCTAACAGCTTGCTAGATTTGCTTGCAAAGTGTTTGAAAACATGTTTCAGACCTTCAGGTCATTTCAGATAAACACAGGGTGTACTGAAAACATTGACATTTCAATAAGAAAGTAAAAATCTAGCCACCACTGCTTCAAACTCTCAAATATCTCTGTATTCAGAGAAATTGCAAATTTTGTAATAAATAGAAAGCAATTTAGCTGATTCTCTACTTGTAGTTAATATATGGTTTTCAAAATATTGGAAATTGGGGGTTTTACAAGATCAGATACTGAAAGATTAAGTTAGATGCTTAAGTGTCATTCTTTTTTCTGTAACTGAAATATAATGGAAAAATAATGTACAAATTATTAACTTGGGTATCTTAATTGTACATAGCTCTATGTGCTATGATAAAATAATTGGTGGCAGTTTCATTTCACAAGATTGCATTTTTCATTTCAAGTTTCTAAATTTGGTTTCTAGGTGATGAAGTTTCAGACTGTCATGTCACTGATGGCTCTTGCAAAGTTTTTAATGAACAAAAGAATAAGCATAATGCGGGGTTAAGAAAAACTAGAAGACTCCAAAAGGTCAGTTTAACTGTACGTATTTTTTGTTAAGCTCTTTCTTTTTCTTGGAAAATCACTGAGTGCCTTTGTATGTACAAAAAAGAGATGCATTCTCTATGCACTATCAATTTAAAAACTTTTCTGAATCTCACTTTCCTTGAAATGTTATGCAAATGGTGGTCAAAGACAATACGTATAACCATGGAACTCAGCTTTCTGGTAACTTGTGGTGGCAGAGTCCATGCCAAGTTGGCGTCATAAAGGAGGTTGATAAGTCAGCTCAAACTGGTTTAGTTGAAAAGCCACTGAATAACCTGCAAAGATGCCTATCCTTTTTGGAGGAGTTACTAAATGGGGTAGGGGTTTTTGTTTATAGTGGATCTGTGGTTGGTGCATTTCCCCCCTTCCCCTGGGCCACTCTCAGGAACTCTGTTAGGCCTTAGCCACAGTGTAATGAGTTGGGCGGTTGAGGGTCCCTTGACCGTACCAGGCACCCTTGCATGGCTAAGGTGGGGAGCGACACTGATTGTACCAGGAACACCGGCTACCTGATCAAGGTAGGGAATGAGAGCGGGGGATAATTTGTCATCCCTGACAGCCCTGAAGCATTCCCTACCTGGATTGTGACTCAAGTGGAATGATACCATTGTTACCATGGAACAATACCATAATTACTATCTCGGATCACCCTGGATATTTTTACTGATGACTAAAGCCAATCATCTTGCAAACCTATAAACAGCGGTCCCAAGTGAGACCCTTTGAGCTTTCCTGGACTGCAGCAGGCTGCACCCAGAGTCTCCTTCTGAGTGGGACGCCTCTCAGAGTTTGCAAACTCTCGAGTTTGTGATTTTCACAGAAATGCTTTTTTTTAATAATTTTAAAGGTTTCCAGATGTAGTTTGACTGTGCAAAGTCATATAGAGACAATGCTGGGGTTTTTTTGATTGAAAAGTAAAAAGAACTTTACAAAAGATTTTATGTGGTTTAACCAGACAGTCTGGCAACGAGACAGTTGCACTGAAAAGTTTTACTTCATATTTTCCTCAAGCAATTGTCTATTAATATATATTAAATATTTATGAATACGTCTATTTAAGATCTATTTTCCATTGTTTGTATGCATACATACATGCAAAATTTATAAAGCCTATGTTGGAGATCCCTAGGAAATTCTTAGTGAAACAAATTTAAAAGGATATTGTTTTGAACAAAATTAGACTGAGTGTCTAAATTTTTGTAAAGAATTAAGTTGCAAAGCTTCTCTAGTACCAGTCACAATATGTTCTTGAAGCTTTATAAAAATAACCAAACATTATACAAATTTTTAATAAACACTTTTTTCCAATGGCAGCTTAAACATTGTAACATTTTGCTAATGTTTGACAATGTGAAAGTGAAGTTAAGTTAGAAAATTTTAGTTTGTTTCCTTTGCCCAAAGCAAAAATTTTGTGAGAGAAATAGCACAAATATTTTTAAAAACATGATGTTATTGAATCATAGTATTATGAAGAATTTTCTAATGTTTCTTTAAACCTTAAAAGAAAGTTTATGTTAAAAATACAAGTGCAAAAGAAATGCCATTTCCTAGCTGTTTTAATGGACTAACGTTTCCAGAAATGTGACTATGTGAACCTCCAGACCTTTTAAATCTAAAAAGAAAAAAAAAAAATTAAATTATAGTCATTGTAGAGTATATGCAGTTTTATACTGAATAGTTCCAATATGAGGCTTCAGATCATATTGCTGGTGTGCTGGGAATCTGTTGTAAGTGTAATCTGTTAAATTCGTTACTTAGCTGTAAGTCTCTTAATTTGGGAAGCAATGTAAATTGCAATTAGTTTTTTTCATACAAAAAGAGTTTGAAATCTAATACCTCTTTAAAAACATTTTAGATGTTTGCTGAATGTAATTCCTAGACAACGTCTGAACTGGAACTTCTTGAGTACTTTAATTATAACTCATTCACTACAGTGAACACTACGATTATAACTCATTCACTACAGTGAATGCATGTCAGTAGGCATTTGGAGTTCACTATGTGATGGTAAATATTAAAAAAGCCATACAAAAATATCTTTAGGAAATATGACCAGGCGTAAGTGTTAACATTATTTACGTCCATGGTTATTTCAATTTGTCATTTGTAGTTTGTTTAATTTAATATAAATCAAGCCGTAGATTCTGTATCTCTCTGCTGTGCTATTTGTTTTCTTCAAAACCTCAGGCAGGTTGAGTTTCTTGTATTTTGTTTTAGGTGACGTTAAAATCAAGAATGACTTTGTTCAAGTACTTTTATATCACAATTTTAGATTACAAGTACTCATATTTTCTTTCTTTATCTATACTATTTATATAGGCACGCTTATTATACTCCTAACATGGAAGACTTCTAATAAAAGTTACCTAAAATTCTACTGTCAACTAACAAAAGCCATGAAGACAGCAGTTTATAATGGCAGCTGCAGGCATGTTGGGGGAAGATAAATAAGATTTTCAGGAATCTTTTATGGCTTCAGGAACAAGCTTTTTGGATTTAAAACACCACCACCACCCCAAAAAATCCAGGAGTTTTGGGGTGTGGTACATATTCAAATGCAGCGCATAAAGATAGATTTATAAAACTGGCCTATTGGTTTGAACTTCTTAGTTTTGAGACATGACAACCCATAATTAAGGATAGTTCCAGATTCTCCTCATACAGAGTTGATAAGGATAAATACTGTGGATTAATGCCTATGAATGTCAGCAGGTGGCTTCCCTGGTCTAGAAATCCAAGTTGATGATACTGGATTGCAGGCATAAAAATAAACCCTGTATGCATTGAGATGCGTTTTTCAATTATTCCATGGAATTGAATACATAGTTATTTGTTGCTTTGCATAGGGAGGACAAAGTGAAATAACTAAAAATCATAAAGCCAAAAATATATTCAAACAAGTTAGTTACAGTGGTGTTAATCTGGTGGTATGAGGGTTGAGTGCTCATTTCATTGCTTAATGTCACAAAAATGTTTGTATTTATCACAACACCTGTTGCATGTCACAAATGTAAACATTCTGTACTTTAAACAGATCAGAGAAAGACTCATTATGAATAACCAGTTAATTGCCATTTTTATTCAAATAAAAAGTTTCATATTTTTAGATATGAGAGATGATAGATATCTTTTAAAGGATCTAACAGTATCACATCACTAAAAAAGCAATTGCAATAAATTTTGCACTCAAAAAACCCTTTAAAATACTATCTTCTGAATGAATAGAAGAAACTCTTCAATCATGTGAAAAAAACAGTTTAAGCATCATGACGGGTAATTAAAACCATAGTTTCACAGAGAAGACAGTATGGACAACTGAAATTCCTTCAGTTTTGTTTTTAAACAGATTCATCTTGGCTTGTACTTCTGTAGCTCTTGGATTTGAGTGAAGGTAAAGTTATCAACACTGAATTTAAGAGATTTTTGAGAGAAGAGAAAATTTTTACAAAGAATCTAAGCTCATGCTGTAGAACAATTAGTGCGAAGCAGGCCATCATTAGATCCTGTTATCAAAATCCTTCTTTTTGAAAATATTTTATTCATGGCAAAACAAACTTTAATATCCTGAAAAATCTGTAACTGTAAAACTTGAAGCAACTTGTTAGACATTCAGGAAAGTAACTTTATGTCTATATTTGATATGTGCACTCGTAGACTGTCTTAAACAGATTGTATCAGTTTAAGAGACAACATCTTTTTATGTTTTCCTTGCAATTTTGATTTTGTAGTTGCTTTGAATAAGCACATATTTTAAACACTGATACTTGAAATATTACTGACTTCGAGCCGCAAATGAATATTAAACTAGTGCGAATTAGACAAGGTGGAAGCATGCAAGCTCATTTACAGTTAACAGTGAAGAAACTGGAACTTACCTACACGTTTATGATCTGGGGAAAATACTTGATGTAGTGGGGGTGGTGGACAAGTGGTCATTGAAAATTATTCAAACTGATTGCTTCTGGGTATAGCGATGAGACGAGTGACTGAAGCTACAAATTATAGGAGTGCTTGCATGGTACCATCAAGAAACTTTTATAGTATTGACCAAACATCTGGTGGTGTGATTTTATTCATATCTGATTTGATCCTAGAATGTTTCTTGTTTACAAGATGTCTCATCTTACATGAAGTAATCCTGAAAGTGTCTGACCAACTCTAGCTGATGATAACTGAATAGTTGATTATTGTTTAACTGTAGTTATCTAGCTGACTCAACATAAATTTGAAGAAACAAGTTGTTGGGAAACAAGCTTTTGGGCAGACTACACTGTAGGACAAGTAACTTTGAAAGTGTCAGTGATAAAAGGATCTAATGTTATATACCACTGCAGAAAATGTACTTCCTTGGAGTGTCTGAAATATGCCACTGAACATTGATATCCAACAAGAAAGTTTATTTTTACTGGCAAGACACAGCTTATGCTATTGCTATATCCAAAATATGGTGGTCATTTGTTTGTTCCAAATGTCCAGGTTTTGTACTAATATTAGCATTTCAGAACAAAATGTCATATCAATAAGTAGTGTTCATATTTGTTTCAGATAAATGGAATATGCAGATACTCATTTGATAAAATACTTCTTTTCTTTCGTTTGGTATAAAGTTAAGTAGTGAAAAGATCTAAGAACTTTATATTGGCCTAATGGATTTAAAAGATATTGAATGCTATGAGAGTGATGTATAGGAAAAACTAAAATGAGTATCAGCAAGGTTAATATGAGATGGCTAAAATCACTGAAAAATATTCTTAGTAAATATTTGAAAAGCGGAGTCTCAAAATACTGCCTGTGACTTAGTACTTACTGGTCACGCTCAAACTTTTCAGAGGATAGCACTGTAAAGGATGCCTGTGTATCCCATGGTTTGAGAGAGTTTTATAAGTCCTGCTGTATGTTTAATCTCATGAGCATTTTCAACCTTTGCAAGGCAATTCTGATTTTGGACTTTGTCCAGCTAGTGAATTTGTCCCCCACACTTC